GTCTTATCTTCATTTTTAAAAAGTAGAAACAACAAACACTCACACATAGACGAGCTGATAACCAGCTATACCAACAGGCTTTTCTAACAGCACATATTCATCACAGTCCAGCACTGTTAGCTTGGGTTGATTATGGCTGCTTGGACTTTCTGAGGGATCAGACCTCTGCCCCCCAAACAAACACTCATGTGGGAGCATGCATGCACTCATGTGGGCTGGGTGGCCTGCTGGGCTGCCTCGCTCCCTGGGGTGTCTGCCCGTGAGAGGGCCTCCCACCCTCCCGTAGTGTCTACGGAGGGAAGGAGCTGGGAAAGCCCCCGTACAAGAGAGGACAATTTGTGGTGAGAAGCCGAGACACTGCTGTTTATGTAAATATTGTAGCATGGGGTGGAGAGCTGGGATCTCTGTTAGCACAACAAAAAATACAAAAGCGTAAACTGTAATTGAGGAAAATGCTCGGTTGTTGTTTGAAAGCAAACTCTCACGACGACGGCTGCTTAGCCTGCTAATCATTAAACGATGGAACCACTTACACGGCTGAGCTCACATTCACCACTTTCTCCTCTTCACGTCATCACCATATGGTCCACATTCACTGGAGCAACATGTACAGCATCATTATGGTAATGCTGACGTCTCTGTTGTGGCCCTCAGCAGACAAGAGGCCTAGAATCAGTGTGTGTGTGTGTTTCCCATAGAGAAAAGCTGTCATCTGAAATAAGGACAAATGCAAATGACTCAGCTGATGCAGACAGGCTATTTGCATGCGAGACTCTGCTGAGCATCATCACGGCTGTAAGTGTACAAAGGAAGGAGGTCACATCTTCAGATGACGGCGATCCATCCTGTTGATTCTCTCTTAATAATCCCGCTTCCTGTTCTGACCACCGAGTCCAGCAGACTGTCATCGAGGACGGAGGACATTTAATTCAAATATAAACTCCGACATGAGAATTGTGTTCACAATAATAACTCAGCTGATGAATGAATGCTGTTTCTAGAGTATTTACAGTTGTAATAATACTGTTAAATCCTGCATTCTGCTCAGCTTTAGACCCACGTATTGGGTTTGCTGCCATCATATTTATGCGTCTTTATTTCACTGACACCGAGATGAAATATGTCTCATATTACTTAAAGGAAAACCAGACAGCAAAAGAGATTTTGGGAGAACAAATTCCTTCAAAGTATCCAAACTAACTGGTTAATGCTGGACATTAAATCATCTAATCACGTTCATGGTTGGTGAGTTAATCAGTTAGCTGGTTAGACATTTAATCTTTAGTTTTAGATTCTTAACAAAACCAGAACTGACAAGTAAATAGTCATATAATTAGATAATTTACACACATGCTTAAACAGGACTACCTGTAGTAATGTAGACGTTATCAATACTAGTTTACTTCTAGTTCACAAGGTTTAACAAATATACTAAGTGGCTCCTCTACAGATGCATCATGTGTTAGATTCAACTCTAACAGTTATCTGTCACCATCTGCTGGACAACCTTCATTTATAAGAAAAAAAAGTAACTGAAATGGTAGGAGGCGCTGAGGGGCCACCATGCGGCCTCCACCATTAAACAATGCTGTATCAACTCTGAGCTTTGGTAGAACAAATCTTTTCTTTATGTCGCTTTACTCACAATTTTACAGATGAAGCGTAGGTTTTTTTCTGCAATAGTGTCTAACCTAAGCAAAATATTCACATCCAAGCATTCATATTTCCTTAAATTGGTAGTGCTCATTAAGGAAACTGATTAAACTATCTGGGTGGAAGAACGTGGCTGAGTCTTTTTGCATTTACTAGCAAATTCTAGGCTTCACTGTAGTCTTTGGAGTCTTTACTGATTTAGTACAATTATCTTAGGAGTAGGATGTTCAAGAATAAAACCTCAAATCATAGCCACATTTCCATTAGTGGGTTTCAGATCAGAGTAAAATTTCTCAGAAATAGTTTGACCCAAATAAACCTGATCACTACTTCAGAGCAAATGTAGATGCAGTTTTATTTACCAAACATTTTAAACTTACTTAGTGCCCACTAAGATTTGAGTCACTGTCCAAAATAAACTTATAATTCTACTTAACAGATTCAAGTTCTTCTCCAAATGTTAGATATTAAATTTCAGTTCTCTTTCACCAAAGTCTTAATTTGATGTTCTTCATCATCTTTAGTTTTGATTTTTCTTCCATCTATAACTCCTCAGCACACACCAACTGATTAATTATGCACAAGTGAAAGACTAAGCTAAAGGGAGCCGAGCATGTTCATGCATTATTTGGTGCCAAATGATTTTACGGGATGATAAGACAAACACAGAGAAGGCATTTTAAACAAGGTTTTCTTTATTCGACTGTGGAACAAGTTAGCAAAGAGCCTTCCCGTTCAGTCACACCTAAAACTTCTGGAACTGCTTCTTGGCTCCAGCAGCCTTCGTCACTTTGAGGACGTTGAACCTCACGGTCTTGCTGAGAGGTCGGCACTCTCCGACAGTGACAATGTCTCCAACTGTGACGTCTCTGCAGAAATACGCAAAAATAATATGTCAACAGGTGGTTGGGGAACATCTGTCCAAGACCAGGCCGGTAAAGATTCAGCCGTGTTGGAGCGGGAGGTGTTTAGCAAAGCTGCATCAGTGTTTGCCAAAAGGCATCATCGTCACAGCTTCTTGAGCTTGGAAGACCATCGTGAGAAAATCATCATTTGCAGCAAGTTATGATTTACTTTTTGGGGCTAATAAAACTACATTAACCGACATCTGGACAACAGACTTATAATTAAATTTGTCCAGGGGCAAACAAATAACCGCACTATTTTTTTTTAAACCTTTTACATATACATTTCCATGTCTGGAAAACATTTACGACCGTTTGCTTTGACAGTGGAGCCCTGAATTAAAAGCATACGAGCAGCGTAGTACCTGAAGCAAGGCGACAGATGGACAGAGATGTTCTTGTGCCTCTTCTCAAAGCGGTTGTACTTGCGGATGTAATGCAGGTAGTCACGTCTGATGACGATGGTCTTCTGCATCTTCATTTTGGTAACCACACCTGTAGACCAAACACAAAAGAAAGTTAAATACAAGGGTGTTGAATGCAGTGAACGCTGAAATCAGTTCTTCGTAAATAGGATTGTCACGCCAATGCATCAGTGTTGCCATTAGGCACTGTCGTCAGAACCCAGAGGGCTTGGAAGACCATCGTGAGAAAAACATCATTTGCACGACAGTGACAAAAAAAAAAAAAAAAAAGGAAATTCAATGTAAAGTTTGTAATAAGTTACCATGTTAAAGACACTGGCTCTGGCTTGGGTTGCTTCACCTGCACAAGGATATGTTGATTTGCAGTCAGGAACATTGCTAACCGTGTGCTCAACAGTTACAATTGAGACATTAATACTCACAGTACCATGGTGGACATTGTAACAAACGCAATGCTGGATTTAAACCAATTTCACTCTCAAGACTTTAAGTCTCCTGTACACTAAATGTAGTCACGTCTTGTCAAAGTAACCCGCATTGTGTTCCTTTTACACATATTTCTGAAAATGTATGCACCTTTAGTTTGGTTTACTTCAGGTTAATTTGTAGTGTTCTTATAATATTGTAGCAGAGTGTGTTGTTTAAATGACAGCAGGTTATCTGTTGCAGCATCCCAAGCCAGTGTCAATGGGCTAGTGTTTAAATATACTGTATTGTGTTAAACTTACCAGAGAGGATACGGCCACGAATGGAGACATTTCCAGTAAACGGGCATTTCTTGTCAATGTATGTGCCATCAATAGCCTGATGAAAGCAAAAAAAATAGATATTGTTAGTGGCATCCCATGCATATTGCTTTGCTATAAAATTAGGTTATTTTTTATAACTAATGTGACTGCATCAGCATTGCCCAAAGGCATTATCGTCAGAACCCTGAAGGCTTGGAAGACCATCGTGAGAAAGACATCATTTGCAGCCAACAAAGAACATAAAACAACTACTCTACAGTAGTTTGAGTAATTTTCTCAATAATTCAAGTTACCTCTCTTGGGGTTTTGAAGCCCAGCCCAACACTCTTGTGGTAACGGGGGAGCTTTTCCTTGACCTCCTTGCCACCATCTGCGACCAGAACACGCTTCTTGTTCTGGAAGATGGTGGGCTGTTTCTGATAAGCCTTCTCGGTCTGTGAAACAAGGAGATAATCGAGGTGAGACCACGTAAAGCAGGAAGCACGTTAACTTGGACATCCGCACTTTCACGCGCTGGTAGGACACAACTAGCTACATAACTCCACCGGCCTAGCAAAGATGTCTACTTCAACATCGACTTCCTCTAATAAGGAACTAAAATCACCCTTAGCTGAAACGATATATTGATACATAATTAGATGGAGTATGTTTAAAAGAAAAGTGTTACCGTTTACAGTACATACAAAGCAATGTTCTGCTAAGAGTTAACGTTAAGTGGTAGCAGGCTAAGCTAACCTAGTTAGCATTACGGCTGGTTTAACGCTACACGAGGGTATGCAGAACGTTAACAACAAAATGCCAGATATAAAACTCTCTACGTGGCTTTAAATGGCTCGTGGCTGTGTATTAAGACCATGTAAAGGCACATACTTAACATATCCCGATAAATATGTTAATTTAAATGGTAAGAATATCAATTTAAATTCACCACGCCGTGTTCCCGAACGTACTTGTGCATCCGCCATCTTTGCCTGCCGAGTCGTAAAGAGGCCTGTGGGTGCGCGCGACGGTCTGAAGAAGACCGCGAGAAGCAGGAAATGACGTTTACAAAAAAGGGCGAGGCCTCAAAACGCAAAACACTTTTGTTTTGTGTCGTTTAACGTTACTTCGTCAACGGATAGACGTGGTAAATTATGTAAAAGTCGCACTTAAATTGTTCATTATTTATCAAACATATGTATCAAATATAAAACACACCACCTCCACTTATATGACGTCATCATATCACATCAGCGCGTCTGAAAACTAGTTACCGCAAATATAATTTTGTCACGTGATTACACGGAAGCGCCTCAAGTCGCGAGCGATCTAAACAGACAACAAGATGGCATCACACCCGGGAGAAGGCGATCAAGGTACCAGCTAGCATCGGCAATGTTTTTTTAATTAAATTGACTGTGACAGTGTCACCAACAGTTGTGGTAGACGTTGGTACTCTCACACTTGAACAATTAGCTCTTGTTTTTTGCGCCTGTGGCTCGTTTCCTTTGCTAGCAGCAACATTAGCTGAACTGAGGTTAGCAACATAGCTAACTGAAACGTTAGCCGTTACTCGTCGTTTGTATATAGCTTTAGGTGGCTAGCTTGGTTAGCTCATAGCTGTACAAGAGTGAGTTAGCAAATACGTGACAAAACCGAAACCCACATATCAGGAGACTCATGGCCCGCATGTCTTTTCACACCGACAACGTCAAAGTCCCGGGCTCGTTAGACGTCAAATATGTTGAAGCCACAACATTGACTGACTTAATAATGACTTAACGTTAGCACCAATTAACTTAGATGACAAATAATGTATAAACGCTACTGCTAATGTCCCTCAAACGGTTATTTTACACACGGACACAGCTGATATAAAGAGTAATAAAGCACAGTAAATATACAGTTTATCAACAAAATAACAAGCTTTTTTTAAATTATCTGTTATTTAAAGTGTGGCATCATATTCAGATTGAAGTGACGGTAAACGTATAGTTATAACAGCAGCACAGGTTCTTATTATTCACTCATTTATTTCAGATTTGAGATACCTGGTTGTATAACGGTATCAGTATTTGGGTGATTTAACACCGACCTTTGTCTTTCAGGCAATAGCAAAGACCAGATACTGGAACTAGGAGCTGTTTTGTTAAAAGAGTGAGTATATACTCGGTATATATACGGTTGGGCTTCTCATTATTGAACAGTCAGATCATACTTTATTACCACCTGTTTGTGTCTCCCTGTGTAGCTTCATCTACGAGCGGGTTCAGCGGCATGGAGACGGCAGCACTGCACTGACCAGGACACAGCTGGGCGGAGTGGAGCTGACTGACCCCAACCACAAGAAGCTGGCCATGTGTCTGCAGCAGATTGGAGATGAGTTGGATGGAAATGTGGAGCTCCACAGGTGAGCTGCCTGCCTGTGTGTCAGGCCTGAAGAGTTATTAATGAGCGTTTTTAACCGGTTTAGCCTGTCCGTAATCACTAAATGTTGTTTTCCCCAGAATGATAAACAGCTCTTCGCTCAGTCCCACAAAAGACATATTCCTGAAAGTTGCCATTGAGATCTTTTCAGATGGAAAGTTCAACTGGGGACGGGTGGTTGCCCTGTTCTACTTTGCCTGTCGACTCGTCATCAAAGTGAGTTCAGCAGCTCTGTTGTATGTCGCCTCATAATCAAAACAAAGTTAGAGTTATGATTGAATAACAAAGCCCTGAGCAAAGTCTGAAGCATTTCCCTTTCACACCTTCTCAGGCTCTCGTGACCCAAGTTCCTGATATCATCAGAACAATAATCAGCTGGACCATGGACTACCTCCGGGAAAATGTGATCAACTGGATCAGGGAGCAAGGTGGCTGGGTAAGAAGCTAGCTATCAAATGCAGCTCAAACTCGTATATTCAAAGTAAATAAGCTTCTGCTCCTGATTGCTAGCATGGCACATGCTAATATTTGTTTATGTTGTTGTTTTTTAGGAGGGTATTCGGTCCCACTTGGGCACGCCCACATGGCAGACGGTGGGAGTTTTCTTGGCCGGAGTTCTCACCACTGTTTTAGTCATTCGCAAGATGTGAGGAGTTTGTGATGAGCAGACATGTGAGAGATGGGAAAGAAGTACGCCTGAGGTTCATGGGGACAGGAACATGAAAGAACAGCTGAACGTGAGCAGAAAGAAGTTAACGGCAGAGTGAACAAGTTGTACAGGAAGAGCTTGTATTTGGACACGAAGAGCCACTCTTCGTTTCTGCCTCCCTTTCATTTCCAAGGACTGGGAGACTGAACGCATTGTCACACCCATAATCCCCACGCCACTGAGGAAGTTGGCGGAGCATGATTACATGCACATTGTGTGTGTGTGTGTGTGTGTGTGTGTGTGTGTGTGTGTGTGTGTGTGGGAGGGGGTTGAGGGGGAGAGTTTGTACGACTTTAACAGGGAATGCATTTTAAGTAATTTATTTTTTACTTGGTATAGACAAAAAAAAACATACATAGCATTTCTGTTATCTGCCCTGAAAGATTATATGGACTGAAGTTAATTTTTCTTTATTTCATTTTTGTTCCACTCAGATTGCTTTTCTGATCTCTCTCTCTCCATCCACCTCATCAGGTGCTACAGAATCACTTTTCATATGTATTTGTGAGTGTTAACTGGTGTAAATCTGTAACCATCTGCTGCCATTGTTGGAGGGTGGTCACATCTCATCGAGTTAAGAAAAGTTATTTTTGCAAACAATTATTGGATTAAGCCGGAAGATGTAGATGAATCTCATCTACGGTAATATTTGGGCTCAAAACAACCCCAAACCATTTGTCCCCTTGAATGCACAGCTCAAACTTATTTTCAGTGGGTAACTTAAGGGCCGCAACAGGGATTTATATACAAAGTTATGTTTACATTCAACATGAATCATCGCACGGTAAAACAGTCACATGATCTCAGCTGTGCAACATTTAATCATTATGCTCCTTTTGGGATGTTTCGACCAGCATTGTGACCGTAACGTGGCTCCCACTTAAAAACAAACACAAGCCCTGCCTGTTGTCTGTGGTGTGAGTGAAGCTACGGCCTTTCCTGTTGTCTACGGACGATGAGCTGCAGACACAGACGGCACCGCTCACAGATGCTTACCTCATGTCACACAGATTCAAAGTACTGTACGCCTACTGGCGGCATTGAAACTGCAATCTTATCTACAGCTGGCTTTTTTATACATCCTTCTTGTTTGTCAGTGCCTTGGTGTTTTGTTTTTTTTTACTATGAAATCACTTTGATATTCTCAGATTTTCACCTTTTTCTATCACGTTTGTAAAACTGAAATTAGTTTCCAGTCCCCCGGAAAATCTTTCTGCTGTGATCTTGTCTGTAATAGGAAAAATAAATCTTTTAAAGCTGACCATAGCTATGTGTAGTTAGTGGAGGAATCAGTGGCATCAATATGGAAAAATAAACCTGATCATAAACTAATCAGCATGTCGGCATGCTAATGTTAGCATTTAGCTCGAAAAAGTGCTGTGCCTGAGTGCAGCTTCACAGCTGCTAGCAGGGCAGTAGATTCTCAGAGCTGTTTAACTGCATTAACAGTATTGGAGCAATATAAAATATGTCTTGAGGGAGGTATTGATTGAGTTGATAAATATGTAAATTTGGTAATTTTCTGCTCAACAAATTAAATGACAATCAGCAGTTAGCAAAGATATTATAGCCTGTTGGAAGCTTTTTAAGACACTTGAGTGGACAGGGTTCATAATATGAGTATTAATATGCTTTGTAAATGTAGTGGTTAGATTATGATATTGCTTGAGGATAGTGCTTGACCCTAACCCTAAAGGTCAGTGGTCACCAAAACTCCTGAGACTCAACTTCAAGGGCTCAAGAATGTCCCCTGCAAATGTCATGGAAATCCAGTCATTGCCGCACTTTCAAAGTCACTTTCAGTAAGACGGCAACTTCTAAATTGTGGTTCAGGGGGATTTCTGTTCTCACAGCGGCGATAGAGGAAAGGTCAGAAGGTCATCACATAGTTCAAATAGTGATGTAATGTATCAAATATAAAGACAGTCTGACCGGTAGTTGTCATCTCCAGACTTTAGTCCAGCAGGCTGAAACAGAGTTCAGAAGGTATTTAGAACCTGGAAAAGTAGTTAGAAAACAGCAGAAATGATCACAGTCACTGAGAGTTAATTCAATTAAATACTGTATTATAAACTGGATCGCGAATCCGTGAGATCAATAATGTATCACACACACTGCATAGTTTCCAATGCTGTTTATTGACTAAATGCACACATGCAATAAGAACGGCTTCATAAAAGTGGTCCAACAAGCTCAGTACAGTGACTGAATAATGAGCACGTTAGAGACAAAAGGCAACACAGCAGCCCCCAATATGTAATCAAAACAGGGGACACGTGTGCTTAAGACCGAGGACGTACTGGTGGATTTATTTTCGGCCCAGATGAAAGCACAGTCCTCCCACATTGAGACAAATTTAAGGCAAATATTTGAAACAATTCTACAGAAGGCCATGTGTGGGACGGTTGCGGAGACACTGCGGCCGATGGAGGGAGGGAGTCGTGGTCTCTATCTGGTCTCCAGCACTCCGTCTCTGATCCTCCACCTCCAGACGGAGCTGAAGTCCGGAGCAGGAACACAGCTGAGCTCCAGACCGGACTCCTGCACCTCCTCATCGTGAGCTACCTGCTGGCCCTGCTGGGTTTCCAGGGTGAAAACCCTCTCAGTGATCTAAAAAAAAAAAAGGAGCACACATAAGCATCAAACATCTTGCTTTAAAAACAACACCACAGAAGCAGACACATGAGAGTGTGTGTGAGGCTGCTGTTCCTCACCTGATCACTGATTCCGGTGGCGATGTGGCCCACCTTCACCCGGCGCGTCTCCCTGATGCGGATGCTCCTCCTGTTGAAGTCTCTGATGCAGACGTCCACCCCTGAGCCGATCACAGAGCAGAGAGGTCCACGTGTTACAGTTTAGTACTGCACTAAATAGTTTTTATAAAAAAGAGAGATGTTAATGTTTTATCTCACCTTCAAAACAGCAGGGCGGTGGGAGCTGCAAGTCCATACTGGAGACCTGCACGTCTGGCTGACTGTTGTAGGAGAAGACACCGGAGCTCAACTCGTCTCCTGGACTCAGAGACCAGCGGCCAGAGTCCTAAAATAACACGTTAAACAGTTAATACTTCAGCCAAAATAGAGGAACACCAAAGAAGCTCTTTCTTATCTTGAGTATTTGGACAGGTCAAATGAACACATTTTATAAAGATTTGGAACTGTCATATTCTGTGACAACAGCACAGCTCAGATAAATGATCAGTTAAAAAAATAAGTGTTCAAGTTATCAATCTAACCGGTCATGATCTCACCACGATCTCACCAGTACGTAGCTTCAAAGATGGGATGTGTAACAGGACAACAATTTTTAAAAATTCCACTATTTGAGATCTATGTGGTGCAAGAAGATGATGGCAATTAAAGCGCTGACTTGGCCCCAAACTGATCCTTATTCACCATATTGTGAGGTGAATCAGAGATGTACTCTAATAACAGTGAATATCGGCTCACCTTTTTGTCCCACGGCTCCCAGGTGGAAATGGGGTCGCTGCTGAGACACGACAAGAGCTGCTCCTGCATCTCAGCCGAGTGGAGCTGGGACAGACTGCTCAGGTAGAAATCTGAGAGACGAGTGGAGACGAAGACGATGAGCGGAGATCAAACGTTTAACAGAAGAAAGAAAGCAGAGCTGTGAGGGGGGGGGGGGGAACCTCACCTCGCTCCAGTTTACGCAGCTCCAGTTCAGGCACGGTGGTGATCTTGTGGCCCCTTTTGTAGTTGGGCTCAGGGATCAGCGTCTGTGGACAGAAAAGTGAGCCTCGCTTCGACTCGTTACAGTCGGCCTCTCCATCGCCGTCATCCTCCAGCTCCTCCGCCCGGCTCCCTGTTGTGATCACTTCCTTAACAGACTCCTGAAGCTCATCCTCGTAGCTTAAGCTGCTGTTGATGCGTTGCAGGGAATCGGGAGGTTTGTTGGAAATATAAAAGGGCTCTGTGTAGGGTCCCCTCACTGGACTGGTGAGTCCTCCCACTGCAATCACACAAACACAACAAGCCTTTCACAAACTGAAGATCATGCATTCAAGGGGGTTAACCAAATTCACCACAATGTGTTATTTACATGGATTTGACTGTGTTTGTGGATGTGTGTATGGACGCACCTCGTGCTGGTTTATTTACCTTCTTTCAGAGCTCTGGCAGTTTTTCCTTTGAGCTCAGAGGCTGATGCTCTCTTGGCCGGATCCTTCTCAAGTCCCGCCTTGATAACCTCCGCTGTGAGAGCGTTGCAGCTGGGTGGGATCTCCCTCAGTGGCGGCGGCTCGTTAGCAATCTGTTACCATCGCAAAGACGGACTCGGGTCAAAGGCTGGCGTGAACACGCCGTGAAGAGACCAAACAGCCGGGTGCGGTGTGTCTGTGTGTGTCGCTGTGAGGCGTACCTTCAGGTAAAGTCTGCAGGTGTAGTATCTGGTCCACGGTTGACACGCGTTGAGCATGTGCAGTAACATACAGCAGCTGCTCCACACATCTGCTTTGGCTCCGCGGGGTTCCGCTTTCACGATCTCAGGGGCCATGTGGCTCTCTGTGCCCTTCAGATCTGCATCGAATTACACCGGGGAAAACAATAAGACACACGAGTGGATGCATTTCACGTTCCTAACTGAAGCGCTAGAGTTGGTCAGTGTTTACCGGTGGACCCGCTGAGGCTCTGTCCCTGGTTGTCGAGTCTCTCTGCGTGTCCAAAGTCGCATAGGAAGGTGTCTCCACCGTCCTCCGACAGCAACACATTGTCAGCTGTGAGGGAAAACAAGCAGAGTCAATAATCCACCGCGTTACCGCTGATTTCCATGACTTGTGCTGTGTAGTTTATGGGAGACATAATTAGAAACAGGGACACAGACACAAAGCAGTCTACAGATAAAGGAGCAACAAATAAGAGGGAGCTGTGACGTCATCGAGGGACAGCTGCTGCAGGAGACACTTCAATGAGGAGTGAACGTGGAGTCTAGCATCAAACAGACAGCAGGTGGCGCCTGAGCTGCAGCAGCATTATCATGTTTGTCTTCCTGTTTCAGTCTGTTTTTATTCTCCTCCTCTAACTCAGTTCTCATTTTTGTTTTTCTCTTTCCTTCTTTTTTATTTCATACTTCTTTCCACTTTATTTTCCTCTCCTGCTTTCTGTACTGTCGTCGTGCTTTGTTCTCCGTCTCTCTAACTACTTCCTGCTCCTCGTCCCATCCCCCCGCTCGGTTTCGGTCTCCCTTTTCTTTCTTGCTCTCCTGATTCTGTGCACATGCGCCACCTCTAAAGATCAGCGGTGAGTCACACTGTGGGAAATTCCCAGCCCGTCGTCTTCACTGTGGCAGTCTGGTTTCACAACACAGGTGCTGAGGATCAGATCTACTGTATCTATGACACTTGTGTTCCACACAACAGCTGCAACACTAAGACACCAAATCCTCTGATGAGAGCTAACTAGAAATCTGACTTATTTTAGTTTTCCACTAGTTACCCCAACAAGTAAAGGCTGACACATTTAGTTAGACTGTTTACTGTGTTTGTTAGGAGGACAAAGTACCAAAATCTGCTACTTCTATGCTTTTGTTGCATTTCAGAAACACAAACAAAAATATTTAATATAAAATGCATTAAATGACCTATATGACCTCTATGTTTGAGGGTTTCGGCAATATCGCCAAGCCCTACCCTCATGGCTGGGTTATGCAGTTTTGGATCGCCGCTTATTTGATTGGCTACCGCAGCGCGACGTCGGCTGGCTTCTCTCCAAAACTTAATTCAGTTTCAACTTTTCGCCTGAAGGCCTCTGGGTTTATTTCCCAGCAGCCCTTGCGTCCCCACCGCTGCAGTTGTTAAACGCACTACCCGCATTCAAATGAATGGGAGGACTGATGTTTTTTATCTGGTTTGGTGTGAACGCAGCCTAAAGATGATGCTTCATTTGAGAATAAACATAGTGGATTCAGGACCAAAAGAAATAAAAGTGCTACATTATATGTCTTTTTATGTCTGTCTGTTTTTAAAAATTGTAGTTATGACTTTTTACATTATTCCTATTATTTATTACATTCTAATATAATATCCAGTTGTATAACGTACCTTTAATGTCTAGATGCACCACTTTTTTCCTCCGTAGGTACTCCAGTGCTGTCAGGACCTGCGAGTGGTAGTGGAGACTCAGGTCCTCTGGCAGCCGGCCGCGCTCCGCTATCAGCTGGCCCAGCGAGCCTGGAATAACAGATAAGGTCAGACCGGGACAAACACTCAGAGATAACTTGTTAATATTTACTTCTACGCATTGCCTGATTCAACTATTCCTTTTTTATTACAGCCTGGAATATGTTGACAAAGGAAAAGTGTGAGGTATGTTGCTGTGTTTATCAAGCAGGCATCTCCCATCGTTACACTTCAAGGAAGCTCAACAGTCATTTCTGGCCTCATGGAACCGCCCACTGCCACATCTCGACGAGCATCTGTTTTTCTGTAATCTTCATCATTCTCATGTGTTTGCACTTCAATTCATCACATCTCACAGAAACCGCTTAATCATTAAGTGCGTAAAAAGGCAGAAGGGAGGCTTGTTTACCAGATTTGTGGTCCATGATGAGGACGACGTTCGGCCCCTCTCGGACCACTCCAAAGAGTTCCACCACACGAGGAGATCTGAGGGCACTCCACGCACCCACCTCCTCGCTGCTGAACCTCTTCAGGGCGATCTGTGAAGAGAGGACGCAACAACAGCATGAGCGACACTTTAAAAAAACTAGGCAGTGGAGCCAAAACAATGAACAAAGAGGCCCTGTGTTACCTTTTTGACAGCGAATTTGAAGCCTGTGTTGACATCTTGAGCGCTGTGTACTTCACCATAGGAGCCCTCCTTGATGAACTGTGTGAGGATGTACTCCCCCCCTTCCTTGTATTCAGAGTCCACAGGCTGGATTTTCTGACAGAATAAGAGAGAAACACGTTAGTTTGGCTGAGGCACAGTTTTAAACCGAGACAGAAAGCCAGCGGGACGTAAAAGCAGAAAGTACCTCGTTGTAGAAGATGATACCCTCAGTGCTGACGGAGTCGGCTGCTGAGCGCTCCCCTTCCTCTTCCCTGACGTCCCTCTCCACGTCTTTAAAAAAGGGCCCTGCGTAGCACAGGTCCCCCTGACTGACGCTGCCTCTGAGGCCCGCGAGAGCCAGCGAGCAGTCTCCCTGCAGACTGCTGAGGGAGTCCGAGGAGTCGCTGTCCTGCCCGTAGGAGTGGAGGCTGGAGAGGGATCCCCGGACCGGGTCCCCCCAGTTGAGGGGCGAGCAGCTGGAGCCTGTGTTGTAGACCTGTCGGCAGTAGACAGACGGCCCTCTGTCCTGCTCCTCTGAGCTTTCAATGCTGCTACAGCAAGAAGTACTCAGGTCGCTTCTCCCCCCAAGAGACGACTCATCCTACAAGCAAGCAAAAAGCACGACAGATCAGACTCCATGATGTGGACGTTCTCAGGTGAGGTGGCTCAAGGGCTCTAACGCTCAAGGCCATGACGGGCAGCTTTGTCGGAATTCGCTGATTCACAGTAACAACACATGTTTGCATGGGAATGTCTGCAGATCGAGCCTCCGATTGCCAAAGAATGTGGCAATTTTTCCCTGAAGATGATTCACAAGGAAAACGCTGCAAGCTCTCTCGGTTGTTTTGAGTACAAATCTTCCTCAATGGCAGTTTCAATATGTCTTTCATATGTGAGACTCAATGAGATGTGAAGAATAACCGGACTTCTTACCAGGATCCGGACCAGGGAACTTCCACTCTCCTGTTCAGGGACTCCGGAGGGCATTCGGTGTCTGTGCCGCTGCCTCTCCTTCTTCTTCTCCACTTTTTTCTTGCCCTTGCGCTTCTGCCTCTTCCTGTTCTTCTTCCTCGGGCTGAGCTGTGCCGATGAGCTGCTCGGCTCCTGGGCGCAGGCCGTGGTGGGGCACGCCACATTGTTGTGCTCTGCGGGAAGACTGAAGTGCGGCAACGATGTAAAAACGGCATTAAAGAAAGCAGTACAACCGTACGGAGTGTGAAATGCAGACGGAGTGACAAACCTGCTGGTGAAGCAGTTCGGGGAGGGAAGAAAGGAGCGCTCGAAGCAGGAGGGACTGAACTCTTGGGAGTCCTGTGTTTCACCTGAGGAGAGCACAGGGGGTTCAACTCTCTGTCCACACAGGTGTTTCATTTATTATGAAATAAAAAACTCAAAAAAGGCATATTTACATTCAGCTTGGGCAATGAAGTACGAGGTCTTCAGGGGCATTTCTCCCACTTGCTCTGCAGTCCCATGTGTGAGGAGTTTATTGATCAACGGGCTGAGGCAGGCAATGTAGCCCATCTCGCTGTCCTTGCCCTCCTCCTCCTCCTCCTCCTCCTCCTCCGCCTCCTGCTCCGCAGCCGAGCAGGACGGGTAAGACCCCTTCATCTCGGCCTGGGACGACCCGGAGAACGGTGCTGTCGAGTTGAAGATCCTTTGCCTCACCGCCATTTCATCTGCTGGATCTGGAGAGAGAGAGAGAGAAGATCACAGCAAACTGATAAGTACAGTGCTTTCTCATTAATCACTCATGTCAAATAAGTCATATTTATAATCATAACAGATCATATGTGTGTCTGAGAATAAATGGATCAATTAGTAGATTAATGGAGTTGCCTGATGGGAGTTTATAACAAGGCTGCTAGTTTATCTGCAGATTATTTTCTCCATTAATCCTCTCATCTATAAAAACTCCCTGAGTAATTTCTCTTTAAATGTCACGTTCTGTCCGTCCACCGGTCCAAAACACAAAGATATTCAGTTCACTGTCACGAAGAAAACCATCAAATGAAATCTCTACATTCAGGAAGCTGGATCCAGCAAAACTTAACTGCATATTTTGCTTAATTTTCTATCAATCATCTCATCGACTCATCACTGCAGCTCTAGTTCATAATATTTAATATTCTACAGCAGCAATCAATAACAAACAACATTTATCCAACACAACGTTGCTGCAACGTGTCCACAGATCACATGGTCGCTGCCCATCATCTGAGTGACTGACCTTTATATTGTGACGTTCCGAAAACTACTTCCCCATAATGCAACAGAGGACTTTTTACTATCTGACTATGTGTGAGTGACGCTGCCCAAAAAGAAGAAAAACTGCACGGTGACAACCAACGAGAAGTCTTATTTTCACGTTAAAAGTTCCTCTAACTTTTATTTATTTATTTGTATTTCATTTGTTCAGTTTTAAGGGGCTGAAAAGTTAATTTAGTTATTTCAAAGATCTCCAGTTGAGGAGCTCAAACATTGACTCGACTTAAGATAAGATGTTTACTCTAGTCAACAGGTAACACACTGCGATGAAGCAATAGCCGGCTTTATACCGCGGTTAAGTACATATTAATAGGTAGGTTTGAAGTTTAACACGCTCCGACTGGATCGAGTGCGTTCTGGATGGCGGTGATCGCTTGAACTGAAACTTTGCGGTGGGCAGATGAGACAGGAAGCTCAACCCCGGCCTTGTTTTGACAGTTGCAACCGTGTTGCTGAATGCAAAGTGCTCCGTTTCACTCAGAGGAAGTCGACTGCGGCACATTAGACACACGGCCGAGGCTAGATTCACGATGCAGATTTGCACGATTGACTGCAGACGGCTCGGAGGTTACAGTCGTGGAAACATGTAGGAGTGTAAAATCAGCTCACTCAGCGCCGGTGAAATGGTGCATTTAAATGCAGTTTGAAAGGCACAAACTGGGGCTACAGTTGCATCAGATTGTCCATCACACTTAACCGCAGCTTCTCCTCGTCACTCTGACTCTTTCTGCTCATAAACATGCCGCTATAGAGATTGTTGATAGAGGTCCTGCCAGGATCATTCCTCACATCTCGACTAAAACAATCGCACAGCTGCCACAAAAACATCTCCCCGGTACGTTATAGACAATACTCACACAGCACGACAAGTAAAGAGGATCTGACATCAAACCGTAGTCACATTTCAATGAAAGCCATTTCGTGGTGCCATTACCTGGTGTGTGCCGACTTCACGCACTGCAAGATATATTACCGTGATAAAGCAGTTCAACTGTCACTTCCTTCTTAAGGTGCTGCCGGTGCTCAGAAAGCCCAGCGTAACACCACACCCAGAGGACTTTACGTGGAAAGGAAGTAGAGAAAAAAACCCACTGAGATAAACACAACCACAAAAACAACTCTGTGTGTGTGTGTGTGTGTGTGTGTGTGTGAGGCAGAGGGGCGTGTAGACGTACCGACAGATGACAGTCTGAGCTGTTCTCTCTCTCTCTCTCTCTCTCTCTCTTTCCTGTGTATAACAAACCGGTCCTCTACATCAGTAAAACTAGCTGTTTGTCCGCCTTGTCCTTCACGTCTCACGACTCCGTCGCTCCTGCTCTGCTCAATGCTGGCTCTCAGCCAAGCCTGGGGAGGAGGGAGGAGCTTAATGACAAGGACTTATGGGAAATGTATCTCCACTTCCCCAAATTTCACCCCCCCCTCCCTCCAACAGGGCTTCTTGCTCTTCCCTCTGACTAGATTAAAGGATAACACGTTCGCTTATTATGCTTTTGATGATCGACTGTGGACAGCACTATGTTTCTACGCCTGTCACGATGAACTCAGGTTTTACTCTAAAGAAGAATCAATAAAAAGCAGAATAAGGACAAATAAGATCTTCTCTAATTGGGTCAAAAACAGCACAGAACTGCCCTCCACACTGAGAGTTGTGTGACATTTCATGTGCTCTGATATCCTGATGAGCATGTGTGCCCTGTGGCTAATATATATATATGAGTCTGTCACACCCACACACACTCTCCACTACATACGACATGTCATAAAAACACAAAACAACAGAGCAAACTGCTGATTTCTGATGTTCTGAGGATCTCGTGGAAATCTTTTGTGATTTAGGAGAAAGCGTGTGAGCTGTCACTTTTCTTCTGTCGTCTATCTGAAACAATCTCTCTCTCTTGCTTTTTTTCTTCTCAGCAGCAAAAACAACAACTTAGTCATACAAGAACCGCCACAGCACACAGGAAGTTAAGAAAGACCACTTGAGAGGCGACGCCGCGAAGCAACAACACGGAGCTGAATGCAAGTTCAACGAATGAATCAAGTGAACAGGACGAGTACCAGCAGAGACTCAACATGGCCGAACAGAGGGAAGAGGGAAGGTCTCAAGTTCCAAACTTCATCAGAAGATACGGCCGATAAAACACACATGACGCAGATACAACCGTCCGGATGCTTTTAGTCGATCGACTGAATTAATCTCAAAATATTTGGATAATCGATTAATCATTCACGTCATTTTTAAAGCAAAAAATCACGACTATACGCTCCTCAGATGTGAATATCGTTGTGTTTTTCAGTCCTCTATAACAGTCAACTGAATATCTTTCACTGTGAGTCTGACTAAACAAGACATCTGTATGCTTTTTATTTCCTAATATTCATAATGCTTAAGTATTTATTTATTTTATCTCATGGCATGTGCAATATTTCACACATCTGTTTTAGTCGTTGGTGTACTACTGTACCGCCTTGTTGGCTTTCTATTGTTTGAAGTTGATTGCAGCTTAAGGAGCGCCACCGCATGAGCAAAATTGGAGACAATAAAAACATATTTTACATTTTTAAGATAAGAAAAGTTATTTTTTGCCATTTGCTGACATTCTAAATTCAAGGCCAAACAATTAATTGGGAAAATAATTGGAAGATGAATCACTAATGGACATTCGTTGCAGCTCTAGTTTGGCTCGAAAATATCAGAAATAATAATAGTACAAAAGAAATACCAATCACAATTTTCCCACAGTAATGTCTACAAAATGCTTGTTTTGTCCGAAAATATTCAATTAAAAAAGATATAAAACAAAGAAAAGTGTCAATTGAAAAACTTGTCTAAACTTTACAGATACAGCAGTTATTATCATTGGACTACATGAGATTGTACAAATGTACCTAATAAGTACACAAACATGAATCTTAATACATATTGCGGTACAGTCAATATTAATCTAGCTGTGCAGAGAAACCCTGAGCTGAACTGCACATCCAGTCAGTGGCTATACTGAGCCGACTGCTGCTGCACACCCACACAGATTAATGACATTCCTGAGCCTTTAGTAAGGACGGGAACAGGGTCTCAACCTGAAGTCGGCCTCAGAAAACACACGGCCGAGCATTCCTGAAGGGAGACGCAGGAAAACGTCCCACGGACCTGGACTACACGTTCCCACAGCACTTAGGAGAACATGCAATGACCCCACTAATCACACACACCTGTATAATTAACTACAATGAAGACATAGGTGTCGTTACAGTAATCTGAGTCCTCCGTTCCCAACTCATCATGTTTTGTACGTTATGTGACAATCCTGATTTAGATAAGAAGACGTGGGCTGCAACGTGATCCGCTTTGTTTTATATCAGTGTGAAGGGAACTTCTTCAGGTGTTGAACTGTTGATCTGACAAATCAAGAAATCCGAAGGTCTCAACTTGAACTTTGAGAAATTATAATGTTCATGTCTCACTATTTGTTCTAGGGTTAGGGTGTCTGAAACTAGACCAGGAGTCTGATACTAGACCAGGAGTCTTCACTAGACCAGGAGTCTGATACTAGACCAGGAGTATGACACTAGTAGTCCAGGAGTCTGAAACTAGACCAGGAGTCTGACACTAGACCAGGAGTCTGAAACTAGACCAGGAGTATGACACTAGTAGTCCAGGAGTCTTCACTAGACCAGGAGTCTTCACTAGACCAGGAGTCTGACACTAGACCAGGAGTCTGACACTAGACCAGGAGTCTTCACTAGACCAGGAGTCTGACACTAGACCAGGAGTATGACACCAGACCAGGACCAGGAAGGGTCCGGCATGTATTGGTGCAGTGTGTCAAGGCGGGTGATACATGTAAAACAACTCAATCTGCTAGATATGAGCCAATAAGGGCGTAATGTCTAATATGTCAACTGGGCACATAAGAGCAGATAATGGCATGAAATATATATAAATAATAGAACTCAATGAGGTTAATATCTATTGTCATGGTAACTTCGAGGTACAGTTAGTAATAACACATTTATTTAGTTTTCTTACTTATTACATGTGTATAACTGTGCATGCACTAGTTGTAACATGCTACGTTTATTTTCAGATTATGATGATTATTGTTAAAGTCCTGTCTGAGACTTCCACAGCTAACATACAGTCAGTAACACTGGAAAAAGTAGAAGCTGGAAAAGCGTTACAGCAGCTTTAATCGCAGACATCTGGCTTCAGCCATTATGAAAAAGTGTTGTAACATGTTGACATTAGAGTTAAACTTACAGTAACAGCAGCTTGCGTTTACTGTGCCGACCTTTATTCTGTTTAGCTATGGTCACAAACCAAATACGATCATAAAAACGATGTCCTCCAGTTAGCTGTGTTGTTCTGAGAGTGTTTGTCTCTTACTTCCTTTTCGGGTCACCGCCATTTCACATAAAACTTACATCACGTTTGTCATTCGTGATGAAGTCGAGACTTTACAGGTAGTCATCTCGAAGGAGATTATAAAAGACCGAGGCTCATAAAAGCGGTGAAACTATTTAATTTAACGATAAATGTATAGTAGACTTTTTACTTACCGTTCCTCCAATTAGTAGGCGTCGGCCGATGGCGATCAGATCAGTGTTTAACGAGAATTAAGACTTCCGGTTCTCATTTCAAACTAAGTCAATTTTACAATAAAGGTATCAAAATGCTATGATAGACAAAATATTTGTCACTAGTATTATAATTGTTATTATTACTTGTTTACTTTAATAATCTTGAGTACTGTTAACATGTTTTTCATTTTTTTGTAAATGACAGTTATGCTTTTAATTTGAAGTTGAACTTTCTGGACTTCCGGTAAACGCCTCGCCAGAGGAGGTGTGAAGACTGAAGTAATTTATCTTTAGTAATTTATCTTTAGTAAAGGTCATTAGGTACCCTATAAGAGTATTGAGACCCTAAACCAAGGCGATGGCTTGATCCTCATCCGTAAATAGTTGAGTCTCAAGGTTTGTTAGATATGTTAATGCAGACGTGGGACTGGACGGTGAATTAGTAGGAAAATATGTGTTGGTGACTTTTATTAAACGCTTTCAAAACCCCAGTGCTGTAATAAATTAGACAAATTACCCAGTTTAATCCCCTGCTAAATGTATGATTCTAATCTATGTTTTAGTACTTTTTAAATTGTTTTTCTGTCCAATGCAATACGCCTTCTTTTTTCTAGTGTCACTTGCTGTTTGCTCCCAAAATGATAACGACACTTTGCTTTAAATAAAGTTAGTGTTCCAAAAGTTTTACCGGGCTTTATAGATCTAACTTTGAATTCAACACATATTATACTTCTTCTAAATAGGATTATCTGTACTGACACATATTCACCACAAGATGGAGTCATAAACTACTGACAAAAGATAGATAGATAGATAGATAGATAGATAGATAGATAGATAGATAGATAGATAGATAGATAGATAGATGTATACTGTATTCATCCCCAGAGGGAAATTTGTAAAAGGCATATTGCTGTATTATTGTCTATATTGACATGTAGCTGACATTAATGGTAATCATACTGTAAAGGGAATAAATTAATTTGGCTTTTTTTGTGTAATTTCGCAAACACGGTAATTGTTAACGGTAGCACTGATGTTGTTTCCTGTGATTTGAAGAAGGATATGACCAACATGTTAAAGTTTAGGAAAATAAAATGTAAAAGGGAACCCCATTCACACTAGTACAACTTATAATAAAAGCATAATACGGTCTGTTTGAAACTAACAATCACTTTTGGGGGAGTTATATAAACAATGTGCAGGTTTGCTAATATAAAACAACATAACGTGAACATAGTGAACTTGACTATGTATCACAACCATGGTTTTAAAATAGTCTTTGCTTAATTAGGCCACAAGTATTAACCAGACAGTGGCATTAACACTGGACTAAAATACATCAATGTTTCTTACATCAATACAGATTCACTCTAAGTCTTTTAAGTGGCTTCATCCAGAAATGTGCTGAGTCTGCATCGCTTGTGAACGTGGCCAAAGAAGATATTGATGATGTGGACCAGAGACAAACCAGTTCGTACCACTCATCAAAAACAACAATGACGTCAATTGGACATGGGCCTTATAACACATAATATCAAATAAATAAATAAAAACGCTAGAAGGTTTCGAGTAACAGGCTATTCAAGGTCTGTCAGTTAATAAATCGTAATATGAATAAGCATATATTTATTTTTAAATTTACAACACGTGAGCACAATATAAAGTAGAATAATAAAGATCTTAAAACTAGATTTTTAAACCCTTCAAGGGGGCAGATAATTAAAATAGATTGCATAATAATGCAGGACCTGCAGTAGTTGCTATTGTGCTTTGCTGGTGCAATTTTCCAAACAAATATGCAATTAATCAAATAAGTGCTATGGGTCTGGAGCTCCGGGACGTTGCCTCTTTTATCCATTCTTGTCAATTATTTATTTCTATAAAAAGCTAAAAAACTAAATCCAGCTGGGAATATTGTAAACAAGTGGAATATACTGAAGTATAAATTAATTACAGACATTACAGAATTAATAGAGCTTCACTTCATTTCAATTTGTGAAATTGTGACATCTTGGTGGAAATTATTTGGGGAAAAGGTCAATTAAAAGTGACCGCATCGGTTTTGGAAGTGCACATCATCATCCTCCTCATCCTCATCCTCATCAGCAGCAGCAGCAGCAGCTCAGCTCTTCAGTCGGACGCAGACGGAGCGATAGAGAAGCTGCTGCTCTGTTCAGAAAATGGCCGACAGATTTTCTAGGTTTAACGAAGATCGTGATTTCCAGGTAATGCATGTTAGACTGATTGACGCATTGCACATATTTGTATCATGTCCATCATTTACCACTTAAATACGGAATAAAACGCCACGTGCGCCTTCGTATTACTTCAAACAGCCTCGTGCATTTCGGTCCAGATTACGCTCAGCTAGCGCTGCAAGCTAAGCCAAGCTAACGCTAGTGCACTGCGGCTCTTCTGTATTTAACTTCCCTTTACGTCTCCGTGTTTGTACTGTGCGCTATATTTGGTTCCTGACATGGGTTGTGAGCTGTCGTGCAGCCCTCTTAAGCCACGCAACACGAAAAACGGATATTAAAGTCCAACTATCTTGTTAGTGACCTTGGGTAGTCTGGTTATTTATCGACATATGCTAACTGTGGATAGCTATAGCTAACGTTAGCACGTAGCTAACTGGTACGCACATTAGTAGCACTAGCTAGAAATGGCTGTATCATTTTGACAACTAGAATACAACGACATTAGCTAGTTAGCAGGGTTATAATCTACCTAGTAACAGCCAGATATGTGTTGGTGCAGTAATTTAATGATGTAACTACCACTAATATCTCGTAATAATAACATGATTTGCCACTAATTTGCTGATTTTGCAAATATATACACCTGTTTATAACTTGTGAGTTTTCCTTCTGTAAAGGAAACATCATTTAATCTCTGTTGTAACGTTGCTGATTTAGCTCACCTGGATTATGTTTGTTTCTATAATGCCAGTTAAATGTATTTTTCATTGTAAACAAAGCAGCACAAAGATGTAAACTAGGGGATCTTTATTTTCTTAAGTTGTGTGAAGTTAACTCTTATTTGTGCTAATAAATCCGTCCCTTCTGGACAAAATAATAACGTTATTTTTGTGTTGAGACGTTATTTCAGGTTGTATATTTACAACCGTTGTGCCAGAGCTGAGTTGCTGAGTTTCACAAGCCCACATATTGAGCCGTTTGTCTGTAGCTTGCCTGTTATCTACGACCACACCCACGAAAAGCCAAACACAACATTACTGATTAGACAAAAATAAGATGAATCCATATTTGTAGTTTGTTACCTTGTTTGTTTTCTTTCTCACCATAAAAATCCTCAGTTATTTTCATCCAAATTCCTCAGCTGACATAATCTCCCTGCTTTACCCAGCATCAGTCATACTTTGTACCGAGCATGTTTTTTATTTGACATGTATTGTTGGCGTGTAATCTACCAACTGGCAGTACAAATACAGAGGTGTCGTTCTGCTGCACATGCTGCCTCAGAAGCAAGATGATGTGTCAGAATCCTTCCCTTCTGAATATAAGTACAGTGTTCTGCAGTCATTTGTGTTTTTATCAAATGAAACCAGCCTCAAACTTCAGTCTGGAGTTGTGGGATTACCTGGGGGCTGCTGTTTCATGCGCAGGTGTCAAAACAGTTTCTAAACATTTCTTGCAGGAACCATTTTTCCCACATCACATTGTCCAAGTAGAAAAGTTGTCGTGGTATTGTACAAACATAATCAGTACTATGAATGTTGAGACAACTACTAGATAGTGGACATATAATGTAACAAAGATTGATGCCAATCATAACATTTTCATTGACCGTGTGTGGCCCCCCCCCCCCGAGTGATTTATAAAGGAAGTAAAGAACAGCTGTATGAACAGTGAGGGTCAGATGAAGGCCATAGATGAATGATTTGCCCCTCACCCGTGCATCTTTTTCTGATCTTTCACATCATAAAATGCCAAATGTTTTCAAACGAGGAGCCAGTGATGCTCTGGCTTGGTTTGAAAGCTTTTGGTATAATAGAAAATAGCTGTGAACTTTACTACAATTGCTGTGGCTGTTTGTTTTAGAAGCAGTCTTTTATTTCCTTGTGAAAATGCTATGGGGAAATAGGTCAATTACCAGACATGCAATGAAACCCATTACAAGTTTAAGCATGTGTAATTGCTTTGAATTGCTCATGATTTTTTTCCCTCTAAACGCACTGTGTTGCTGCCTGATGGGAACTCAGTATTCTGCTTTCTTATGTCAGAGAGAGGTGAATCGCTGTGTGGTCTGAATGAGTCTGTTGAGAGCAGCTCCGGCTCAGCACAGTGGAGCTCTGTGTGCGAGATCTGCTGCGAAGGCATTCATATGCTCAGTATTCAGAAAGTTTCTCTCCGACTCTACGGACTAAAGCCTGCTGCCAAGCAACACGGCGCCGGAAACACCCACAGACGGTATTCCTCGTTTCTCCTGCACAACCAGTCCAACAGCTTTGTCTGCTCTATTTATTTACATTGTTGTTGTTGGAGCTTTAGCATGCAGCTGATCAGGAGTTGCAGAACTCCAGACTCAGGCTGGCTGTAGCTCTCTCACTTCCTAATTCGAGGTTGTGTGGAGCATCTATTTCACAGTTTGTGCACTTTTTCACTGCAAATTTGCTCTTGTAATGTTCATCTAGAGGACAGAGTGACGGTCACTTCTATGCAGCATTGCTGTATTGTTTGTGTGCCAGAGCCTGGGCAATGAGGAAGCAGCAATGAGAATAAGAAGCCAGTGTGGTGGATGGGGGCTGTGCTGATAGCACAGTAAGTGGTCTGAGCAGAGAGTCAGCAGGAGGAGGGCGGTGGAAGAGCAGGCAGCCATTGATTTGTTTGTCAATAAAGCCTCTGCCTTTTCCCCGCATCTCCCCTCGTCATAATCCCCGGCTTCACTTAGGCTGATGAGGGGTCTGGTCTCATCTGAATTAATGACTGCCCTGTGTGGCATCAAATCACCTCATTATTGTGGGCTGATGTGAGGAGTTGCTTATCTATGCAAAACCAGATTCCCCCAGAGGACGTGGGGTGTAAGCCTCTCGGATGGCCCAGCCCGTGTTAAGGGTTTCTTCTTACAGTAACGTTTGCTGCAGCTGTACAGTAGCTGTGTAGCTGTACTGTAGACTGGAGAGTATTTTGCAGTAAATCAAGAAGTCCACAGTGATACAAGCAGATATCCTGCTGCGCGTGTTCCATCTCTCAAATAGACATGTCCTCCGGCTAGTAGCTGCAAGCATCTAGTAAATAATATACCGCAGACTATTTTTGGAATCTTTCAGTTTTCAGCTCGTGTTGAGGTCAGGAGAAGAACGGACTCGCAAACATGACCTTCGTCTCTCCGCTGCCGCTAAAGAGAGGAAGCCATCTGTCCAGCGCACAGGCTGCTTTAAGTTGGGCTTGTAAGCCCATTACTCACTCTCTGTTCCACCCAGGGCACGGACTTAAAAATACATTTGTAAAAGTAAAGCTATGCTTCAAATTGAGACAACAAATAGCCTGAGGAGGCAGTCGTCCTTCACTGCTGTCACTCCTAGAATACATGTGCCAGGAAATAAAGAGACGGACAACTTAACTCTGTCAAGAAAATTTTCAATCAAAGCTTTTAATAAACTGATGCTCAAAGGCTCGTTCATATCATAACTGGACAATGGGACAAGCATAGTCACATATTTCCTATTGTAGCATATACCTGCTGTGTGGAGCTTAGCTTAGTTTTAATGTGATGTTTCTCATATGTTTTAATATACCGTAAATATAAATCATCAATATTTCTTTGTACAGGCTGACGGTAAACAGTATGCTGTTAATTTAATGTGTGTTACTTTCATTTTAGAGTTAAATACTACCAAGAATGCATATGTAAAAAGAAAAGATATCTATAAAATGTCAGAAAATAGGGAAAAATGTTCACTTATGATTTTCCAGATGTCTTCGTCTTGGTTATTTTGTCTAAACTGATTCTGGAAATACCCAAATATATTCTGCGTACTCTTACACATGGCTAGAAAAGCAGCAAATCCTCATAACTGTCGGGAATATTCTGCATTTTGCTTGAACAATTACTGAACAGATTAATTTCTTATCAAATGTGTTTTTCTGTTGGTTGACTTCTGCCGGTAAAATTAAATATCACTATCTTTGATCTTTGACACAGATGTTGCGGCAATATTGTCGGGTTGACTGTTGGTGCTGTCACAATATATTTACACAATGATTTGTGATAGATAATCCTCAGTAATGTGGATACGAATAATGGAACAATAATACTGGTAAGATCAGAAGATCTCATCACTTTACTGTAGTGCAGTCTTTAAAGCAAGGAAAAGATAAAAATCAAGTAATTGTTTCAGCTCTTCTACCAACAAAGAAAGCAAGTATATGTCTTAAACAATCCTTTTAAATGTGTGTCCCTCAGGGTGGAAATCACTTTGACCAGTATGAAGAGGGCCACTTGGAGCTGGAGCAGGCGTCCTTGGACAAGCCCATCGAATCGGTAAGGCTGCATCCATCATCCCGCACCATTGGACCAGCTGTGAGAGTGGATGATTGGTCCAGGGAGGAATAAGAACCACACCTTTTTACTCCATTCATTCTGTCTAGATGCATCCCGTGTTTTCTCGAACACACTTGCCACCTAACCTGTAGAATCACTTGTCTCATGACCATTAATGCCCCTTTTAAGTCCCCCTCTCCCCCCCCTCCACTTCCCATGTCCTCTGCCTAGTCCATTTCCTGTGTGACAGTTAAAATGATTATGTATATGCTAGATCCTCCTGTTTTTATGTACAGATAACTGATAAACATTTGACGAGTCTCTCATTAGTCATTGTTAGTCATCTTAGCACTATGAGATGAGAAGACTCTGAAGGCGTGGAGTGGACAAAGCACCGTCTTTACCGGCTGCTTGCTATCATTCAGAAGACATTAGCTATTTGGTAATGACACGATTTTACTCTGGATACTAGATATAGATTTTAGGGAGTCTGCTGTACAAAGCCCTGTAGTTTTATTATATTTATTAGGTGATTTACTTATTCAACCACTGATTTAAAATGTATGGGGTGTGATCATGAATAAAACCCTCTTAAACAAGAACAAACTCATGTCACCGGGCAGATTTTGATTTAAACGCAGCCTGATTATGTAGTTTACATTTATACATCTGGTTATTTTCCTGTTAATAAAAAGTGGGCGGTGCTTATTCCACTCCACTCAGCAGACAAGAGAGCGCACATAAGATGGTGTGAATGGCCACATTTGTGTTTGAATGAGCGTGTGTCTATGTAGCTCTAGAATTCATGTTGTTAGTGTTTGTGTCTATAGGACAGTTATCTTATTGTACACAACTTGGGGTGTTCGACATTTCTCTCCTGCAGCGAATTGGCCCCTATTAGCTAAGCAGCAATGACCCGGTTTGTATTTGCACGCTCTGCTTTCTTACTCCTATCTTTAGGGTCCTTGTAACGCTTCTGACTGTCTCTCTCTCTCTCTCCGTTTCACTACTGTCACACTCTACCTCTATTCTCTCTCTACCTCCTCTTCGCTCTCGCTCCCTCCCTACTACACAGTGATTCGGTGTACAGTACCCTCTGTCATTCTGTGCTGGCATGGTGCTTGTGCAACTGGGACTGCATTTCTTCGCTGAAGAGGCACAAAGATAATAGCGCAGGAAGCTCACTTCTTTCTGTCTCCCCCCCCCCCCCTTCTTCCCCCATTAAGTAGCGCCCCACCACCCCGGCGCAGTCTCAA